CCTCTTTCTATTTGACTATGGGTGGTTGGGGCTAAAGAATCTGGATATTCCTCAGTCCAGAAGCTAGTTGCTGCAAAGCCTCCCCCCGTCCCTGACCCCATAGCCACCACATATGAGTCTGCTTCAGATCGCTTAAGGTAGACATAACCGCTGATCCTGATTATGGACAAAAAATGATCTTGCAAGGCTGCGCTTTGTGAGAATTGACAGCAGACAGGTTTGCATTACACAGTTCTAGGAGTCAGGCAGACGAATCAGCCACTGAGTGAACTTTATAGAACATGTATACTTCCTTTCCGCTCCACTAAATGCCATAGATGACTGAAACTGATGTTAGCCGCTCGTCTTTCGGCCCAAGCTACTCGCTGATGCTAACAGGATCTTTTGCATATTTCTCTGTATGTATAACGGACCTTGTCTCTTAACAGAAGGAAGACCAGACACAATTCTGTAATTTTAAAGGGTTTTATTTTAAACATAGCATCAATCAACAGTTCTATGCAGCTTTTGATAATCTTTGCCTATTACAACTTGACTCTAAGAGTCGAGACATGATTGCTCACCATTGATGTTGACTCCAGGCGGGGCTCCTTCTGTTCCTCTGGAGACCGGAGCTTGGGACAAGGGTTGTCTGCCTTCACTGGACCACCCTCTCTGCTCCTCTCTGATACTAATTCACTACCTTATATCCTTTTTCAATTCTGTTTACTCACCCTCTGTTGATCAGTATTGACCAATCAGAAGTGTTTGACATTTAGATTGTTTCTTTAATTAATTGAAAACAGCTGAGTTTACTCCCTAATGATCGGGGTCTTTCCAATGTTTATAGCTGTTTAGGTCAGCCTGACCTCCCATTTAAGTGTCTTGTTGTGCAAACTTCCTTATTTGGCTTGTTGTGCAAACTTCCCAGTATCCACATCTGTTGTTCTAAGGGGTCCTGGAAAGTCCCATCTCCCAACTTGATGGTCTCACCATTATCGCTGCCCCTCCCGGGTTGGCTTGACCTGACATATGTCTTACATAAGGCATTGTGCAAACTTGCCTAATTTGGAGGTTCCGGCACTTAGCTCATATCTCCAAAAGTCCTGTGTCTTGGAATGTCCCGTGTCTTCCCATAGCTCTCTACTCATGAACTTTGTTCCTGTAATCAGTATGTATATGGTTTGTATATGATGTGCATAGATTATGAACTTGTTACGAGCTATATGTAAGTGTATATGACCTTTAAATGAAAAAGGATTTTATTCCGTCTGATTTAAGTCTCTCCGCAACAGTTCACTCCTTCAGACCCCCTCCTCACCATTTCCCGCATCCTAGCCAACAGCTGGAGGCCAGCTGTTCTGATTGCGCAAATCTACAACTCTCCAATGTTAACGAGCGAACAACAGGAAACTGTATTTCGCAAGAGAAGAGAAAAAATCTTTCAGAGGCTTGTCTTTTATTTTCGGGCTTCTCGGCCTGAATCAGGCTTTTCAGCTCACCTGCCTTTTGCAGGCTGCTTGGGGCCTTTTCGCAGAGCCTAACACTGGGCTTTGTGCCTTCAGTTAAAACCTACAGGTTGATTACAGGCAAGAAAATTAAATAGCCACTTCTAATATGCCCTGCACTTCCAGGGACATTGTGAACAGTATATTGCATGTCAGCTAGAGAAATATGGCTTCAAATTTCAACTCGGTCATAGCAGAATGAGCTTGACCAAGTAATTTCTTTGGGGGTTCACATTAATTTATGGGATGGGGGACAAGTGACACTTCCTCACAGCAAACTTGGTAAGCTAAAGGATAAGTCATCTGAAAAACCTCTTCACAGCCCCCCCCCCCTCCACTGAGGCTTAAGCAATTTTTCAGATCCTCTATCAAAGTTGAATTTCAGGTTGAGATAATGGAACATATAATTGTGTGTGCAGACTTTTCACTTATTTGTACAGGAAAAACAAAATGCTACCTCCTCGTTTGTACCTTTTCCTATTTAGAAGTTAAATTCTTTTTAGGAGTTAGCCTTTAATAAAAAACATGGTTCTGCAGGATACCATGAATGTGTTGGATTTTCTTCAACTCTTGTCTTACTCCTCATTATTGCCTAATGGAAGCAGAACAGAATGGCTAAAGTTTCAAAGAGTGGCACAACTAGTTACGTGTACTGAAGGGGGTGGCGGGTGGCCTTTGGGCATACTCCTTTGGCAGTCTCCTGAGCTTTATGCCGAATCATGGTCGACACAGATGAGAAGTTCAAGCATAGGTTTGTGCTGGACCCAAAATGCTTAAGAAAAAAAGGTAAAACCCCACTGGTCTTCTCAGGCCCTTGAGTGCATTCAAGAAGCTTTTTGGATCCAGCCACTGTCTGCTCAAGCTAGCATAGAGATGAAACTCCCCCCCCAAAAAAAATAAAATAAAATAAAATAAAAGCATCTTTAACCTTTCCCCCTTTTCTCAGTCCAAGGCAGATAAAACCAGACAGGTAATACGACTTTTCAGAATAACAGAAGATGGATAGACTGATGTTTTAACAAGCTTTTATTGTGAAATATTGGATTTAGAAAAAAGTACAAAAATGTTGACCGTCAAATGTGTTCCAGTACAGAATTTCAATAGTATATACATGTGTAGCAAGCTTAACATCTCCACCTCAAAATGGACACAGACATTACTAAAAAGGGGCTGCAATATTCACAGGGTTAAAAATAAATAACTCAAGCCAAGTGACCGTTGTTGTTCAATGCTAATCAAACAGTGGAAAAACTGACCAAAATGCACACTATAATACAACGCATCACCTTGTGAAAGCCTATGTAAAAATCAGGTTCATCGTGAAAATACTCTACAGCTCCAGAATTTCATATACTAGTGTCTAGCCTTTAAAAATTCCAAGTTAAAAAGAGGTTATGAAATTTAAAAACCCAAAATGATATTTTACTAATCGAATGTGAAATCCCATAAATATCCTTATATTGGGCTTGGAAAAAACTTCAGTACTTTGAATCTCTTTCTCTACAACATTCCTACTGCAGCACAGAAAGTTTCCATGGGAATGCTCTGATTCAACAGTATCAATTTCATGAGAAGAGTTTTGACCTTTTGTTAAAAAACCTGAATATATTAATGATATGTTGCTGGTCGACTGGAAAAAGATATCAAAATTCTATGAAATGAAAGTCTGTAATTTTTAAAAAACCTTCCTCAGTGACTGAACAGTCCAACAGGACAGCAGCAGTATATTCTACCCTAGCTGCGTTAATTGTGTAAGATCTGGAAATAGTATTTATAAACTTACAAAGTTCATTTTAGTATACAAAAAAAATAAAAAAATCTCAATATTGTAGAAAGCAGTCCCCCCCCCCCTTTCAAATTACAATTATTCAGTAGTCTCTTGGGAACAAATCCTCCCAAACTTCAGGTAGCTGCAGGGCCTCCAAACCAAAGCGTAATGCTAGCCGAAGTGCAACTAATTCCTGGAATAGTAACTTGAGCATCCCTTGTATCAAACAGGCTTTTCATTTCATAAAAAAACAGCTTGTTTTAAAGCTGGTGAAAGCATGCTTTTCTGAAACAAGCTCTGACCTTTTCTTAGTTACTTGTATTAAGATCACAAAGCACTGATTAGAACTTTTAACAGAGGAAATAAAATTACTCTGACCCCACCGCTTCTCTTCAAAAAGCCACTCTCAAAGTTTTCCCCCTCCCCCACTGGTGCCTACTAAGGAAAATCTGCCTATCTGCTGAAAAACTCCTGAGTCCTGTAGAATTGGTTAGGGGGTAGTTCTGGAGTACGCCTATTCATGCAGAGCTGGTTTGACCACTAAGATCTTAGTATCACCGTAGTGCGTGCAACTAACTAGAACTTAACCCTCTCCTGACCCGCTACCCCTACAACAGCACATTACAGATGAAGGTTGGTAAGCCTATCCCCACTATTACTGATAAACTTCCATGGAATCCCAAAATCTCCTGGGATGCAGTCTGGAAGCTACTGCTTTAGGACATGCCTGTATGGCTCTTACAGCGTGGAACCAAATGCCGTTTCAGCTCATCCAATCCCTGCAATCCACAATGTGCTTCTGGTTGCACTGAGCAGCTATCCAACTGGGCTGTTGGGCTACTAAGGGCTATACAGTCCCCTTGCAGTGAAGGGTTTTTCCTCCCTCTCAGTGGGAAGTGTCCATGGGGCATTTTTGTAGCTCCCAGGTTATCTGTCACAACACACAATTACTGTGTGACTATGTGCACAGAACTGTAAAACTATTTTGGGGGGAGGGAGGAGAGGTTGTTACTGTGTACTACTAAAAAAAGACATGCTTCTCTAACCAATTTTTAAAGAAGCATTAAGCTATAGTAAAATGCTATTGAAAGAAATATTCACATCATCCAATTTAGGACAACATGAAGACAACAAAGCAAATTAGTATTGAGACAAAAGAGAAATATTCTTTTAAAAGCCCTGTGGTTTAGTGTAGCAAAAAAATTAAATTAGGCACAACAAAAGTTAAGAAACTCTACAGACACATCTGTTACAGTTATCTACAGCCAATATTTTTTTCTGTTGCTTACCAGCTCTTAGCACCTCACCTAGCATCCTAACAACTTTGATCGTAGCAGTCAAATTCTTCTGTACACACACATATATATTTATATATACACACAAAAACAACGATTAAAAAAAACCCCCCCCACCACCTTATATACAAGATACCAGCATTCCTATAAATAAACAGTTGGGATAAAAGGCACTTGGCAAGAGGAAAAAGTCTACAGTAAATTCTCAAAAAAAACCAACCCCACATTTTGTTCTGGTACTTACAATAAAGAATCTCTCTTTTAAATTTCTATCACAAGAAATGCAAAACACTAATCACTAAGAATAAAACTGTTAAAATTCTTTTACATATATTTATAAGGTTTAAGCGACTCATAATAAAAGCACCGTGATTTTTAAAATCTTCAGCATACTCGTTTTGACCAACACATACACCTCAGTTGCCATATGTCCACTGCTGCTTCTTTCTTCCCAAAACTGGTTGCTGCTGTAGTATTGATATGGTTGGTAGTGTTTCCTGATGCCAATCTGCCCAGAGCCCAGGCCAAGTTCTGTTTTTGCCCAGGCGCTCCATATAAAACCAAATTTCAGTGAGTAAGTCTGTGTTCGCAGCGATGCTTGATAGACTGGCTCCGTCAAGTTGCTGCTGGTCACACTTGTTATTGCATGATGTGGTTTAAAAAAAGAGCACCTGCTCTTACTGAACGCGTTTTTGGCAAAACGCTCCCTGTATTAAGAAAAAAAGAAGTTTTAAAAGCTTTCTTCAAACAGGCTGAAGTGTTTTAATCCAAATGTTCACTGCATTATCCGTTACAAAAAGACATGGTGACAGGCTTGCTGTTCTGTATGCGCGTAAAAATATTTTTCTTCTTATGACACAAAACTAAGGAATCATTTTACCTTTTGAATATTCACACCTCTGCAAGCAACCTGCTCTTCACGGAGATGTCAGCATGCTCCCGCTCTTGTCAAACTTCTTGCCCTTTGATAATGCTGCAACTTGTTTGAGTAACTCTCGGTTTTTTGCCTGCGAGAAAGCAAACACCCAATTCCTTTAGCGTTTCGTAAGCCTTTGATGTTGCTTTGCTTATACCAAAAAAACATTTTCCGCAATGCAATGAAAGAATTTCTTGGTGTCAGCTCTCCCTGGATGAAGCCTGCCTCTTCCATTTCTGTACCACTGCCGTGAAGGCTCCACAAGACCCAGCTTCAGCTCCCGTCGCGGGTGCAAGTAGCAATACCCTGACAACAGTCAGTAGCAGAATCATACTCTCTCGTCCACCCAAGTAGAAATGTGTGTTTCTGAAGCAAACCATTAAAGGCCTTAGATCCACAGTAGGTGAACTACTTTATGTTTAAATAGTTTAATATTTAAAATATTTAGTTTAAATATTACCAACCGACGTGTGCTCAAAGGCAGCAGTTTTAATTTCAGTGAATGAAGACACCCAAGGCAATTGCTCAGTTTCCCAAAACTGTATTCCCAAAGGCACAACTCTGCACAAAGTGTAGGCTCAAAGGCTTCTGTGATAAGTAATAAAACAATCTTTCTCAAATGCAGCTACTTTTCCGCCAGGGATGAGGGAAAAGGGGCCTTTAAACTCTTTCCTCCCTTGCCCTTTTCCAGAAGAGGGAGGGTAAGTTGCTTCCTCCCTGCCTCTCCCCACCCCTGCCTGCCTGGGGCCAGGGAGGGCCTTCGCGGGGCTTCCTTGTACTCCCGCCGGCCGGGACCGTTGGGGGCGGTGTGGGTTGCCTTATGACACACGTCCGGTGATGTCAGGGGGTGTGGCCTTATGACACACTTCCGGTGATGTCAGGGGGTGTGGCATATGCTAATGAGTTATGCTAATGAGTTCCCCTAGCTCTTTTTCTACGAAACGACCCCTGCATAGTAGGAGTCATACTGGAGAACAGGTAACATATTAATTCAAGCAGGAAGCTAGGGGTGTTCATTTGGATCTACCTGAACTAAAAATGTAGCCAAAAAATGCCTTATGAGTATTTTTCCGGTTATTTCAGTTTCCCAAATGTATCCGGGTTTCTTGGGAAAACAAAACAAATCTTTGAACGGGGCAGCAGGAGAAGGCAGGGCAGGGCTTAAACGGGGCGGCAGGAGAGGGCAGCCCAGCTAGGAATACTGTGCCTGTGGGGAGCCAACAGCTCCCTGCATGCGCAGCTCTGTGCTGCCTTCTCCTGCTGTTTGGTTAAACTGGGGGGTGGGTGGGGGGAGGAGAAGCCAAGCCAGCCCTAGGATTGGGCTTCTATATTTTTACTGGCATTTATTGGTCCTGAAAAATTTCGGGATTCCCAAAAAATCCCAGATCTGAATAGCATACCGGTATTGGAATCTGGGATTTTTTGGGAATTCCAATTTTTTCCCAGTTCCAATGGAGCCGAAATGAAAAATACCGGTGCAAAAAAAAATTTGTACAGCCCCACAGGAAACTTATCTTAATTCAGTCTCCCTAAATACAATGACTGCACAAGAAGCCTTGAAAGAACAGCCTTGGGGGCAGCTAAGATACTTACTCAAGAATACTTTTCAAATTTGACTTCTGGTACTGAAGTCATGCCATGGGACCCAGCGCATGCACCTGTCATTCTGACTCAAAGCTCCACTAAGTATTGCGCTGCTCAGTCTTTGTGAAGGAAAAACTGCAGTGGTCCCCAGTTGCTGGAGGACTATTTCTGCGGGTGCTTTCTTGTGCATTTGCCTGTTAGGATTTGTGTCCTTGAAACCTGGCTGCTGTGCTGTTAGCTGCCTTGAGTCCAAGGAGCTGTGGTGGGACAGAAGTGTTTTCAAATAACACAGGTAAACCAGGGTTCAAGGGTGGACATGTGGTCCTTCACCTCAAGGGAAATAAAGAGACACACTCAGGATCACCATTAGAGTGTGGGTTGAACCACTGGCAATCATAAATGTCTTGGGTAGGGGAAAGTCCCTGGATTCAAACCGTATACATGAACACATGAATTTGCCTGATGCTGAATCAGACCAAGGTCAATATTGTTTACGAAGACTGGCAGCGCCTCTTCAGTGTCTCAGGTCAAAGTCTTTCACATCACCTCCTACCTGGTCCTTTTAACTGGAGATGCTGGGGATTGAACCTGGGACCTTTTCTATGCAAAGGAGAGGCTCTACCACTGAGCCATGGCCCCATCCCATCCTATATTATAGCCTATTTAATTTGTTCTGCAGTTCCCAACAAGTGGCAGAGGTCGTTCATGCCTCCACAGACCTGCTCTGGGCTGCAAGTTCCCCTCTGGGACCTCAGTTCCCAGGTCATGGGGGTTCAGCTGGGATCAGGATGGCAGTGCGTGGAGAAAGGGAGCTTAAGCTTCCCCTGCATCATTCCCTAACCTGCAACAACCTCAGGAGGCACATTCAAAAAACCTCTGTGTGTCTCACCAGTACTCATGCACCTCCTACCCCAAAGGGACAAAAAGCACTCATTTCATTAGGGAAAACAGCACCCAGGGAAGGCTTAAGCTGTCTCTCCCTGATCCATAACAACACCAATACACAGAGAACTGGGAAAATGAGTACACATCTGATAGAAAGACCTCATGGTGAACCCGGACACAACAGAAGGAATACGCAATGAGCAGGTAAGCCCTCCCATGTGTTTGAACTATTGTGCTGCTTTACCTGAAGCTGTTCCACAGTTTCCTTGTGAGCTCTCTCCATACTGTTCATCTTTGTCCTCAGGTTTGACTCCTGGTACTGAAAATCTGCCTTCAACTCTGTCAACTAGGGGGGGGGGGATGAATTACAAGGAAAATTAACACATACAGCTATTTAAACAGCCATCTTCTCAAAACAAACTAGCATACTTACAGTAAGAATGCAATATTCTAAAGTGCGTATTTTTTAAAAGTAAACCCCAAAGCAATGAGAGCTTGAATTCCTAGATCGTATATGCATTTTATGTCCCCTCTTAGTATTAAGAAGCAAAGCTCTGTTATAGGGGTTAGCTAGTCACAGATACACCTAACTTTCAAACAGCAAAAATGACAAAAACAGGAGTACAAACAGAACAAGGCTTCAGATGCCAGCATTATCCCCAATCTTTGGTTCTCTCCTGTGATGCCTTCTGAAGCATTGTTAGGAAACATCTGCTTATCTCAATTTTTTTGCAGTGCAGCCAGTACATTAGCAATTGAGACTACAAAGAATTAAGTTGTGAAAAACAAATGGTACTAATTTGAAGGGTCCTGAGAGAATAGCAATCTCATTATGTAGACTACTTCTAAGGGTGGCTGCAAATTCGTTCGCTACTATGTAAAAAATATGTGTGCTGGCATTCATTTCTAACATCCGGATTAGCCTATTGCAATGTGCTTTACCACTGCAATGTGACTTAAAAGGCAGTTCAGAAACACCAGTTAAGGTGGAGAACAGTACTGCTAACTGGGCTACAGATAGCTACACCTCCCATGGAAATACATCTCAACCTATCAGATTCTGAGTACAAATCAGTGCTGCCACTCTTAAAGCCCCAAATGCACAAAGAGCAGAGTACCCTAAGGATACCCCAGTCCGCTCCCACTTGTACCTAGCCAGATGCTGAGATGCACTGGAAGCCCTGTGGTATCTCTTCCCCCACCCTTGGATGCGCAGAGGATTGGCCATGAGAGACTGGGGCACTTTGACTGGGGCACCTCACTAGAAGAATGCCCTCCCTGCTGCTTTCTTTGCATCTGAAGAAATGGGAGATTAGGGTGGATTTTGGAGCAGGTGGGTGGCTGGTTTGAATTTCACTGTTTTTATTCTGCCTTCTGGAGACCCTGATGCACGATGTTTTAGAGTAAGCTTATTTTTGTTCCACTGCTGTTTGTTGTTTATGTGGTTTTAACTTCGTTGTTTATGATAGCTGCAACTATGATACAAACTGCCTCAAGAGCCTTGCGCTATGGGGCAGCAAAGAAATGTTTTAAATAAAACAAAGCCATGTCATTTTGATGCACTGCACATGTGTTTCAATATACTGGAAGGATTTGGGGGAATATTCTCCCCAGCTAATGCCATCAACAGTTGGGGTCCTGGCCTTCTCCGAAGTGATTACTCGGGGAGGATGATGGGAGAGATCTCCAGCTTCAGCTGTACAACACTGGGCATGTGGGTTATCTCCCCCACCCAGTTATCAGAGAACTCCAGACTGAATTTACAGCAAGCTGTAAAGTCGTCTGTCTCAGTATTATTGTGGTGTTGCAGACTGATAGTGAGATGCACAGCCACAACCTCAAAAAGGGGAATGCTCCCCATGCTGTCTAGGAGAGCTTCTTTTGTCCTTGTTGAAGGCAAGGGGAAGAGAATGCTTGCTCCAGCTTGCTGCCTATGAAACGCCACCCTTCCCCATTGCTGTTGGAGCTTTTAATTGTTTTAACATTTTATTCCCCCAGTAGCCTTCATTGGAGAGCTTTTGTCTATTTTGTTAAAGCAGTAATTTTTCTCTATACTCAGGGAGTCCAATGGGAATTCAGAAGTGGCTGCATTATTCCATGTTCTACCGGCTGGCAAAGGGCAACATGCTGCTAAAGAAATCGATTCACCTAAAGTACAAGAGAATCAGAGACCACGAAACCACATAAACAACATTTATTTCTTCAGATGCAAAGAAAGCAGCAGGGAGGGCATTCTTCTAGTGAGGTGCCCCAGTCTCTCATGGCCAATCCTCTGCGTGAAAGTGTTGCTCTAATGTATCTAGTTCTGAATACTGTCAAAATAATTTTAAAAAATCTGCACAATGGGGCCATTTTCCCCACAAACCTGGATAAATCCCCATGCTGAAATATAAAAATGGGGGACCCCTCCCCCCCCAGAGAAACAATGTCTATGCGCAAATCACAACTAAAAAGAGCACCAACTGCAGTCATGAGGGGAAGGGGACCTGGAGAAGCAAGTGCATCTTTTCTGCTCCAAGCTAGGTGACGGGTGGGTGGGTCAGTATCAAAGCTTTGAGCAGAAAAAGTGATTAACATGTTTTCATCTTCAGCCGTCTCCCTCAGTCAACTGGCTGGCCAGTGCCAGAGAAACCTGAAGCAGACAGCTCAAAAGATGTGCCTTCTCACTCCCAAGTCTCTCCACCAGCCAGATGGCAGAGAGGCAGGTGCTTTCTGCACAGCCCCCATCAGTCTCCGGGCTGGGAGGGGGGAGCTCTCATCACAGCACGGGCCACAAGGACCAGCAGGGGACAGGAAAATGTCCCTCCTGCATGAGCCTCCAAAACTTGCTCTATACCTATTCATTGCAGAACTATCAAGATCCAACAAAATTGCTGTTCTAAAATTTAAAACGTATTCTAGATTTAAACAAAAACACATCTTGGGGAGTAATTTTTTCCTCATATGGTCCAATAGCAATTTAAAACACAGCCTAATTCAAAGATACATGAACAATTTTTTACATGTCTTGCTCATGGGCTTCTTAAGATCACCTGATTGATCTTGTCAGAAGCAAGAGGCTGGACTAAAAAGACCCCTGAACCTAGGTGATGGGTAGCGAGGATACAACAGAGGCTAGAAATGTCATGTTGTATAACCTGCAACAACCTTAAAAAGCTTTTTTCTACTTGTACTGCTTTTTACATGACCTATTCTGTTCTACCAGCTGTAATGGTAATTAATGGTTACCCTCAGCATAAATTGCCCAAAATGTGGAACCTCGGAGTAAAGTGCCCAAAATGTGGAACTTCCTTCTAAAAGGTGTTTCCTACGAGAGAAATTTTTGTTCCTTTTCGAGATGGGCTTGTAAGAATGTGGTTAGGGCATGTAATTTAATCTGCACTATACTTTGATTCGAAAGTACTATAAGCGGTAAAATTATTATAAGAACAAGGGTATAGATTGTTTAATTCTGCACTGCGTAAGTGTGTGACAATTATTTGCTTTGATGGGCCACTGCTCATCACAGAGAAAACATTCCTACTGCAGGAAGCAAAGGAAAGAAACCTTGGGATATTCCTCATATCATATCAGGTTGAAAAGCATGTCCGGCTGAACAGAGAATGCCCAGTGCTGTCTTTTATTTATTTAATTCATTTGTACCCTTGCTTTTCTCCTTAATGGAGGTTATTCTCCTCTCCTCCATTTTATCGTCACCACAACCCTGAGGTTAGTTATAAAATATCACTGGCCCAAAGTCACCCAGTGAGCTTCCATGGCACGAGTAAAGATTAGAACTTGGGTCTGCCAGGTAGTAGTCGAACGGTCTTAAACACTATACCACACTGTCTTCTTAGATGCTTGTGAATACCAAGGTAACCAAATGTGTGATGGGACTACAAAGTGAGCAGTATCCCTATGAGGATGAAGTTCATTTAAAACTAGGCAGCCATATCACATTATATAGAATGCCTGTCTGGGCTGGTAAAGACATCCATTAATGAGATTTTTAAAAAAAATCAGTTTCTGAGTAGAACAGCCAAGGACATTAAAGTGCAGCATGTAGACACGAATGTCACATGACCCATCTTCTCACCCTCAGCCTGTGCAACAACCTACCAGAAATATGTCACAGGTGGCTCAGGTATGTGTTGATTGACAAGCCACGCAGTCCACCATGAACAGGGGGGGCAAAAAAAAAGCCTTGTAAGTGCTGACAGATTTAATTCTGCCCTGGTGCTTTTCAATACCTCAAGTGTATGGGTAAAATTTGATTAGTTGCATGTTTTTAGGTGAGATGGCTGTACTTTAGGGGCAGTAATTTCCTGTCTCCATAGCATAATCTCTATAACTAATAGGTCTCTAACGCTGCCTACTAAAAACTGATGGTATGTCTCTGCTGACAGACTGCATCATTATGTCTGGAGTACAGCCCAATTGTTGAAAGAGATCTCAGATTTGTACAAGTAAGCTTATGAAAGTAGTGTCTGCCCATTTTAGAACTCACTTCATTGTAACTGAGGTTCAGCTACATCATGCACTAAATAGGTTTCTATAGGCTACCTGGATAGCCCGAGCTAGCCTGCTATTGTCAGAAGCTAAGCAAGGTTAACAGTGGTTAGTATTTGGATGGGAGACCACCAAGGAACACCAGGGCTGCTATGCGGAGGGAGACAATGCCAACTCACCTCTGAACATCTCTTGCCATGGAAACCGTATGGGGTCACCACAGGTTGGTTGTGACTTGACAGTAAAACAAAAAACTCTACAGGACATGGCATTCCAGGATGCAGATGACTTACATACTTCCACAACAACCCATTCATACCATGGGGACTTCCTGCATTCTTACTGACTGGATTAGCAGGAATCAAGTGGGTGGTTCCTGGCCATCAAGACTGCAGGTGGCGGGGGGACTGCGCCGGCATGGCGACAGGCGGAGTGCGGCTCGCTCCGTCCCGCCCGTCCTTTCTATGGACTTTACCGAGTCTCCCAAGTGTCGGGAGAACTCGGCCAGCCCTCTCGGAGTGAGGGCTGGAGTAGGGGGCGTCATTCCCCCCCCCCGAATTCAGCAAGCGGGGGAGGGGTGCCCAGAAACAGCTCCGGGGGTGAGGGGAAAAACTGGGCGCGCAAGGTCGGCAAAAGCCGCAGCCATCCGGTCTTGTTTTTAATTAAAATAAGAACTGAGACTACTAGAATGGCAACTCAGGAGAAGGAAGAAAGTTTGAGTATGTGCTACTGGAGTTTTAAAGGAAATTCCCCAAAATGGAAATGCCCAAACGTAAGAGTGACAACGGCTGGGAGAAATAAGGGGCGTAAATTTGCCTGAGGTGGGGAAGAAAGAAAAAAAATCTAAATGTTGGCGTCTTCATGTTGAGTGGACTGATGCAGCCGGTAAGGAGAAGAAGAATTTGTTTGATTGAAGGACGATAGAGAGAACCTTGTTTTGGTGAGGGAAAGGATTTGGAGGGTTTGATGAAAATGGCGAATGGGATGGAAAGAGAGCAGGAGTATGATGAGAACGCGGAAGTGGGTGAACTAACTATTGAGCAGTTCCTAAACATTTTGAAGGATGTGGTCCAAAAAGAATGTAAAAAGGCATGCATAAAAATAACGGAAAGATTGGACAACATCTGGACGGGAGTTAGTAAGACAGAGGAAGAGGAACAATCCACAGAGAAGGAGTTACTAAGTGATTTGCAAAGCAAGAGCAGTATTGACTCTAAGGATGAGAAATCAGGGACTTCACAGGAGAAGGAGAGTCGGATGTGTGGAGAAGTTGGAAAGAGACTTAAAATAAAACGGAGAGATGCGGAATTGGGACTATGTAAGCATAACAGGCGAGGGTTGAAGAAAGAGAGACAAAGAGCCGAAAGGATTAAAAGATGGAAAAGACGGGCCTGGAAATTTAAAGAGAATAGTAAAAAATGGAGAACAGAATGGCTGAGGAAGTGTAAAGAGAGGCTTATGAACCAAAAAAGGCACAAAGAAAGAAGACACGTGTAGAACATTGATGTTTAAGAGGAAGAACAAACTATGTAGAAACCTACAATGAAGGATCTATACTCTATACATGATTAAATGGAATATTTGACCTTTTGAATGTATTTAATGTTACATCTTACTATCCCACTGGGGAGATTAATAGAACAATATAAGGACATAATTAATTTAGATGTTGGCTTAGCATGATATGAGATATTGATAGATTTTCTTTTTCTTGTTGGTTTGGTTGTTTGTTTGTTTTTTAATATGGGAATATTTTTAAAAAAATAATAATAAAAATAAAACATTGGAGGGAAAATAATTTGGTAAATTAAATTGAAAATTAGACTGGGGGAGTTTAGATGGAAAAGAAAGGATGGTTGATTAAGTTATAGATGATCAGATGGTTTAATGAATTTGAATGTATTTAAATTTGTATATTGTTTTGTTTGTAAGGGTTTATTTTGTCCTTTCCTTTTTTGTTTATGTATTGAGATTGGAATAATAGGGTGGAACATCTAACGCTGAACTACAGGCTGTGGAAGGTCGGTAGTTCAGCAGTTCAAGACCCGAGTTGCCGCATGACGGAGTGAGCTCCCGTCTCTAGTTCCAGCTCCTGCCAACCTAGCAGTTCGAAAGCAAGAAATTGCAAGTAGATAAATAAGTACCACTTCGGTGGGAAGGTAACAGCGTTCTGTGCGCCTTGGTGTTTGGTCATGCCGGCCACATGACCACGGAAACGTCTTTGGACAGCGCTGGCTCTTCGGCTTTGAAACAGAGATGAGCACCGCAACTCTAGAGTCGGACTTGACTGGCTTTCGAGCAAGGGAACCTTCACCTTTACGACAAATGAACATATGTACAGACTACAGGGTTTTTTACCTTTTTATCTTTCTCCAAAATAGTTTGATCCCTCTGTTGCAAGAGACGTTTAAGTGACATCACTTCTTCTTTCAATTGACTTATGAGGACGAAGTTGTCAGTGCCTCCGCTGTCTGCTGACTGATTTATAGAACTACTGTAAAATAACAGCATTTGTTGTGACCAAAGGAGGAGGAAAAAACATATTCCAAACGTAACAGTTTCACAAACATCCTTAAGGACTAATGCAAAAAAAGTATGTACCTGACAGAAATGGATGAAACTGGCAAATTAGCTTACTAATGGCACACAATATATACACCTGCAGAAATATAATTGAGTATTAGCTTCAAAGGGTCAAATACTCACTAAATGAAGCAGCTACCTTTTACATAAATTCCAACTGTTTGATATAGGTGCTCAGTGTCTCATCTAACAAAATTTATTTGGAAGGAAGCATTTTTAAGAACCAGAACAAAGCAACAGATTCAAACCTGCATAACTACTGAACTGTTGTTGCTAAAGGGGCATCTAATGTCTGGCTGCATGCCTTTTGCTCTAATTTTAGTTAGTTTCCTCCTCAGTTGACAGAAGCATTAAGTGCAGATACATCTTAACAAGAAAAATTATAGGAATTAACTATATGGGAAATAAAACAAGGGGGGGGGGGAATAAAAGGAAGGCACAGCATGAATTGCACCTGTCAGCAAATAACTGTACTCTACACAACAGAATAGGAAATTTTGCAAGAAGAAAAAATTTAATTCTAAATTTTACCTATCTCCATTAGATGGCTTGGATTCCATTTTGGGCTTTTTCTTTGGAGTTTCATTCTGAATAGCTGCAGAGGATTTATGGCTGGAAAAAAACCCCAGACCATTTCATGTGTGTCCATATACATCTACTTTTACACAAAATGCACACAACAATTTAACAAAGGTTTGATTTTTGATAAATACAAGATTGAATAAAATAATTAACAGTCACCTCTGTTTCCACAATCCCTGATCTTGTTCTGGACTCAGACTGCTGATTCTGAAATACAGAACGCAGAATAGGCTTAACAGTGACAACCCCGGCGACATGGCAAGTGCAGTCTCTCTATGAACTTTATTTGGAATTTGCACTTTATTGCGCAAATAAACATACAATGCAGTTCTTCTTTGTTCAAAAAGGGGCCATGTTTAAAAGTAATTTAGCTGTATCCACGAACATCTGCACTAAAGCAAATAGAGGCCTGCTGGTTAACATTTCTTACATGTAAATAATACTTTAAACAAGCTGATGTGGCCCAAACGTATATGTATATGGAAGTTGATGCAGTTGGGCTTCAACGTCTTGGGCACACCAAGGGGGATTTCTGACCCTTTGAGCAGGAGACACCCGTGACATTATCAACATGGTTGAAAAGCAACTTGCACTACAGCATGAGAGGCTCCTGTTTGAAAAATACAAGCCAAGGCTCCCCTGGACAAATGGAATCTGGTTAATGTCATTTTTTGGCGTTACTGAAATTCAGAATGAGATCCTAAGGCAATTTTTAGTGGCCCAAGGTCTCTCCATGCCATTATCGTACTTTCAAACCAAAAGAACTCAGAAGCAGCATTAGCAGAATTTTTCCACAACATGTAAAGCAATAATTGACTTCCTTTTTGGTATTAGCTGTTTCAGGAGCATCATGAACACGTGAAACTGCCTTATACTGAATCAGGCCTTCGGTCCACTGAAGTCAGTATTGTCTACTTAGACTGGCAGAGGCCCTCCCTCCAGGGCCTCCCTCACATCACCTGCTCCCTGGTGCTTTCAACTGGAGATGCTGGGGATTGAACCTGGGACCTTCTGCATTCCGAGCAGACACTCTACCACTGAGCCACAGCCTCTCTAGCTCCTCTCATCATTTGTATCCTAAATCTAACTGTGGCCTACAAGAGCAACAGAGCAGCTCCGTTCCTTGGTCTTTCACAGCACTTACTTGTGATGGCTACTGCTATGACGATGATGATGGTGGTGATGGCGGTGGTGATGCTTCAAATGATGCTGGTCTTTTTCGGAGATAGACGTGGAGGAAGAGTTAGAATGCGCTGACCCCAAGCTCTTCCGCTGTTCCTTGGTCTTCTGCAGGACTCTCTTGTAGGACAGAGTGCAGAGCCAACACAACAGCTTCCCATCAACCTTTTGGGAAATCATTCGCAGCAAGTTATGTTACACGTACTGAGTGCTAAAAAGACACACAACAGCCAAAATAAAATGATCAAATACTACTGCTGTGACTCTTGCACACACAAACAAGTTGCAAATATAATGAAGATTCAGCAGCACATGAAATTCAACATGTCAGACACTCTGCTGAAAGCTGGGTTGCAAAGTAACTGTATGACCTGAAGATATCTGACTTTAATATATGGACACTAGGACTATACTGGTGGCTCTGTCCCCTCCTGTTCAAGATGAGTGACTGGTCTAGTCAACATTTTATAATTTTGTTCAACCTATTTCACTTACAGCTGTTTACCCCATTAAATGTCACAACATGACAACATCCATGGTAACATAAGAGAATGGGGAAGTGAAAAGTTCTCAGCTGGAGTAAATGAAAAACTCAGCACAGGAAATTTTTCAGGTGATGTATTTGTTACTTTGCAAAAGTTACAATGTAGATTAGAAACATTGTTAGCTTGCCACCCAAGAAATCCACCTCAAGAATTCTGTGATGGTCAAATGTACACTAGCCAAGAGCGAGTCATGACTGGGCATCTTATTCATTAAGAATGTTTGAATGAGACTAGCCAAAGTTAATTTGCTTATAATGTTTTATTTGAGCCTGCCAAAATTAAGTTGAATATGCCAAGCACATTGAAGAAATTTAATTTGAAAGTAACTTGGAAAAGCTAGTTTGTATCACACCAAGGCTGGTAAGTATCACACCAACATATTTTTACCACTTGAAATGTTCCTCTTTTTTTACATTTTACTCTGTTCTCCTTATTTTAATAGATTTAACATTGTTTAAGACACATGTCCTTTCTTAAAGTATTATATCAAACCTGGATCTGTAGAGACAGACTCTGGATACAAATGCCCACGGGGGAGGGGAGAGATACACGTGTGAATGTCCACACACAAGTACCTCCTTGTTTCTTGCAAAACATAAGCAACAGGTGTCCCTCAAAAACAAGTATGTAGCTTGGATTCCATCCACATATACCCCATCCCAATGTTACATCTACATGGATGTAAGACAGACCCCAGTATCCATGTCGTATTCCTCAGGTGTAGCCTAAACAGTTTCAAGTATGTATGACTAGGGCACAAATTAGTGATATCAGGCTGCTAGCTGGCATCCCAAGGAGCTTCCTAGGAGGGGCCCAGGACACAAATGACATCTGGCAATTTGTGACGCCACGACCACCCCAAAACCCAGATGTGATGTAAGTATGTCAGAGGATGCTTTGGCAATCCTTGAAAACTCCAATTTCACTTCTTGCCTGGGCCTTCCTGCCAGAAGTGGGCAAATGGTCTTCCTGGCACGGGTGTATCATTATCCTGATTTAAAACAACCCAAGGCCTTGCAGTTATTATGGAAAGCTTACATTAATAACTCAAAAATGCTCTTATCTATAAAGCTCTAACAGCCAAAAGCATACCTTTCTCCTTCCCTCTTCTTTTCGATCAAAAGCACACTGCTGCTTGCACTGTTCACATGTCTGAGGTGGTCCGTATTTCTTTTCAGAGTTTGTACAACGCTGACATTTTGTGCCAATAAAAGCTGCAATGATGTTACAGTACTGACAAGGTTTTGGCTGCAGGAACAAGAGAACAATGTTTTTTAAAAAATATTTATTGTTTAAAATGGCCAGTACTGTAAATGACAATGACCTGGAACTGGAAGAAAAAAGTAAAACTGTTCATTTTGAACAATTTTCTATAGATGTCCAGAAAAACATCCTATTTGCATTAAAACTATGTTACATTTTATAACCAGAACAAGAAATTACTTCTTTACTTTCAAAACCTATAAAAACATAAAAATGAACAATATTAATCTCTACGCACATTGGTGCAGAACTCTACCCTTAGCTACAGGTTTCACAACAGTGTAACAAAGATTACAATCAGTGCAGTATAGTGCTGGGAGATTCCAGGTTCAAATCCCCACTCTGCCACGGAAGCTTGCTGGGTGACCTTGGGCCATTCAGTTTTTCTCAGCCTAAGATACCTCACAGGTTGTTGTGAGGATAAAAATGGAAGCGAGAACACTATAAGTCGCTTTGGGTCTCCCCTGGGGAGAAAAGCATGGTATACATGAAGTAAATAAACAAAATAATGTACAGATGCCAACTCACCGTTCCAAACTGTTTCACATTTTGGGCACACTTCTTACATATTGTGTTAGTTTTGCTGAAAAAGAGAAAACAAAAGGCAGGTTAGGCTAAACTTAATTTCTGTAACATAGTTGGGGAAAAAATTAAGAGTGTTAACTGTTCAAGAATTCTGTTTTGTTCAGAGAATACAGATTTTTGATGAATAAAGACAATCTTTCAGCTATTTTATTATAAGCATTTTACAATTTTACTAAAAATGAAAAAATGCATGCAAAACAGATAAACTAATCTGTGAATAAAAATGAGCTCTACCAGTCTTCCAGATGGCTACTGCAAGAGACAAGTGAACTCAGTAACAGATTTCCTTCTCCCACCCCAATCTCAAAAAGAACAATTTAATTTACTTGATTACTGCCCTGCATTCAGAATACTCCTCCAGGAATTAATGTTTGAGATGAAAAAATGGGGGGGGGGCCCTGACTGGCCATTCCAACAGCGTGGAACTTTAAAGCAAAAATCCAGACATCACTAACGTCATTCCTCAAAGAGCCTAAAATATTTTGTTCAGTGGGTGATCTCGAAAATTAAAATTGAAGATAAAATCTGCTATCTGCACTCATTTAGAAGCAGCCTTGATGAAGGTGGAAAAGGAAGCATTATGCGGAAAAACATCTAATGCATCAAATGAAAGAAATAGGATGAATGCAGTAACCACTGGAACAAATGTACACTCCATTAAAGAGATAGTGAATGGGCCACGGGACCATCCTCTTCTGTCCCCAATGCTTTCCATCTTAGAGGTAATTTTAGTTTCCAACCTTAACAATGGTTAAAGACTGTCAGCACAGATGTAAACTTCTGTTTAAAGGCACAGGGATTTATCAGAGGATAACAACACAGAAGGCAAGAAACTGGAATTCTAACCTATCACAAGCTAACTTCCAGTGCCATCCTAAGCAAAGTTATAGCATTCCAATGTCAGTGACTTCACTGAACGTAGATGGGTGTAACTCTAGTTAAACTTGGCAGCATTTGAGTCACCAATGAAATAGAAAGCAACTTCAGTTCTATGCTGATCTCATTATCAGACGCAAGTTTAAAAAATTAACAAAATGAAGTGGCTCTGAGAAACCTGATGTGGAATTGCTGAAGAGCACAGTGGACAGAACTGGGTGCATGAAGTGATGAGTGAGCAGTCACATTCTCACTTATAAGGCTGAACAAGGAATTTCAGCTTTTGCTTCTAAGGTAAATTTCATTTGAATCCAACTGATATACTTTGTATGGATGAATGTACCTTTATGAGGCCAACAATAATTTCTTTTTTGTTTGCAACCGTGAATTAACATGGCAAGGACATACCTCTCTTGCTGAAACTCTGAGCGACAGTAGGTACATTTTACCATGGGATGGGCAATGCGACATTCCTAAAAGGGAGAAAAAAACCCAGAAAAGGTAAGTCAGAACTGCTTACTAATGTGAAATCAATTACATTCCAAGCTCACCTCATTTTGCCTTTTAAAATTATATTGGAAATGGTTAAGATTGGTCAGCCAAAGCATATGTCAACAAAGGGTCTGCTGACAAATGCTTCAGCTAACCAATCTTAACCATTTCCAAAAAGAACTATTTGCTCTGACTTCCTGAATCAGTCGAATCTAAAAAGTCTAACAAATATGAAGTGCGTCCGTCTCACAAGAAATCAAGTTCAAGGATCATGAGCTTAGTGGAAACTCTGAGATCTTCGCACTTCCTCTAATCACAGCTGTTTCAAGACATTTTGGTATTTCCTATTTGTCTGAAATTTTGCTGTCACTTCTCATCTCCAAGAATGCTCCATCAGGTTATTACCCAGCTTAAATCACTTGGTTACATACATTAAGTGACAATCGTCAATACAGACAAATGTATGTCGGTTTACGCTCCAATATGTGCCAGGTTTTAACAAATGAAATTAACAACAGCTAACGTACAAAGCACATCATAAATGGTGGAGATGTAATCACTACTTGAACAGAATTTAGAACCAGGACACCCTACAGGCTATTAAGAAGACATCATATGCATGATGGATCACCAAATATATTAGTGCAGATGTATACACAATCAGAAGTACACTAATGGAATCATCCCTACCAGAAGTTACTGGTAACAAGTATGCAAAAGCTGAGGGACAAGGAAGCATATGTATGTGAAGTCACCACGTTCAGTAAAACTGGGTGGGCAAACACTGTGTTTGTAAGCAGCTTTTCTACCTTTATGTCACATAAGATGAAGAAACAAAATACCGTCTCTGCTTCTTCAACCAACTGTATGTTTAGTCTACAAATACAACTTTGTTTGCTTGTGGTTAACCACTAAGCAGAAATTATATGAACACAACACATCTGAATGACAACCTTCAGAGTTTTAAAACAAGAAATGACAATTCCCTGTGCAATCAGCATGTGGCAATTACATGGATAATGTAATGTGTGATTTGGTTCTTAGTGGGAAACAAGCTCAAAATCAAAGAGATTTGCAAAGAGGCTTCCGTGTCCTCTACAATGCTTCAACCCCTAGATGTATCTGATGAAGCTGGCTGCTGTTTACAAAAACTAAAGTCACAACAAACTAAAACAGATCAGTGCTTTTCAGTCTTGTTGATAGTTTGGAGTTGTACATCAAATTCTGATAGTCAAATACCTACAGCACCTCTAATAATAAACAGCATTTACAGTAGCGCAACCATGCAACAAACAAAAAACATTCTGCAATCACAGCACACCAAGCAAGGGGATGTTGCCAAAACCCAGCATTCTCTGTTGGATTCTCCTCCTCTGTTGGCAGCAGCCAACCAGGACTTTTTTTTCTGGGGGGGGGGGGGGGGCGTGGGACGCCAGGGGGGGGGGGGAGATGCTGGAACTCTCAAGAGGAAAATTAAGTTTCCAATCTATATACTGAAAACTCACAACTTTAAAACATTTTAAAAAGAATTTTGTTCAGGTGCCTTCCCCCAGAAAAAAAGCCCTATCGTAACACCAAAACTAGGAGCTGCGGTGGCTCAAGTGGTTAAGACGCTGAACTGCAGGCTGTGGAAGGTCAGTAGTTCAGCAGTTCGAGACCCGGGTGCCGCATGATGGAGTGAGCTCCCATCTCTAGTTCCAGCTCCTGCCAACCTAGCAGTTTGAAAGCAAGAAATTGCAAGTAGATAAATAGGTACCACTTTGGTGGGAAGGTAACAGCGTTCCATGCGCCTTGGTGTTTAGTCATGCTGGCCACATGACCACGGAAATGTCTTCGGACAGCGCTGGCTCTTCGGCTTTGAAAACTGGCTTTCGAGCAAGGGAACCTTTACTTTTACCTAACACCAAAACTGATATAGTCTACACTGTAACATCATCCTAGCCTAGCTTCTTAAATTCCTGACACCGGGAGTGGAGAGAAAAAATGCAATGTAACAGCACCACAGACAGGACTCACAGACTCTACATGGGGGTTTTTTGAGAGGAGGAGAGAAAATGAAAAAATGATACTGGATGCCTTTTCTGGCAGGAAGCCCAACAGGAGCTCTCCCTGGGCTACGGCTCCATAAAGCAGCGCTAGTAGTAGCAAGAGCCTTCACTAGATAACGTGGGAAGAGACCCAGAACCCGCGTATTCTTCCAGAACGGGTCCCGAGAAGTTTCTGCAGCCACTTGGTTAGCCACCCCCCCTTTATTTTTAAGACAAGCCTTCCGGGCCGCATCCGCTTCATTCCACACCCCACCCTCCCGCGGCCTTCGCCGGATATCCTCCCGGCCCAGCCCTCCCTTCCCCTCCGGCCTTGGGGAGCGGCACCTTGCAGAGCTGCTGTCCTTGGGAGAGCTCCTCGAACGGGTAGCGCTGGTTGCACTTGGTGCAGGCGTAGAGGGCCGGGGCCGCAACCGCGCCGGGTCCAGGTCCGACCGCCGCTGCCGTCACCGCCGCCACCCCGGAGGCCCCGGATGTTGCCGCCATCCGTCCTCCTCCCCGCGCAGAGGCAGCAGCCAACGGCCCGACCCCGGCCGGCCGAGAACCAACCGAACCGACCGACCGGGGCGCGAGACTCGGAGGCAGGCGGGCAGGCCTTCCCCCTCGGGCGGCTGTGGCTCCTTCCTCACACATTCACACTCCCCCCTCCCCTGGAATTTCCCCAGGGGAGTTTGACAAAACAACAGGTGAATATCCTTCCAAGCTCACACTGACAAACTGAGCTGCAGAAGAATATTGACCAAAAGGGGGGAAAAGCCAGGCTAATGTAATATCGACACTGAGAAACTTTCTTTCATGGAAGGAAGCCTGGATGAAATCTACATTCCTTTGAAGTCCACAGTGGAACTCCCATTTATTTCAATAGATCTATGTTGTACTCATCAGTATAGCACAAGGTCAGCATCAAAATTGATGGAGGCAAAAGCAGGATGTCTGATAGGTTTGTTTGCTGGGGAAGGGATAGGAAGCTGAAGCTCTGATACCCTCACATCATCCTTTCTTAATGGAAGGATTATTAACTAAGGTTGATTATGTTCCTCTTAGAATGAGATGCTCTTGGAAGTCATACTGCTTTGACTTTGCATTTTCCTCCAAGGACTTTCAGCCTGGATTCAAATGAGCATCCCAGTGAGCCTCATCAATACACCTAATACCTTTGACTTGAATGTAATGCCAAAGCCACTGTCCTTGGTGCTGGTGATTTTTCACACTGACATGGCATTGGACTGCCTTCTCCTCTATCAAGGTAGCATTTCGACTTTAGTTTTTCTCTGTAAAAAATCCTCCTTGCATTCTGATGGAAACTACCATTAGCATTAATTTCTGTCTTCTTTCCCAGCTTTGTTGAGGATAGTATTTAGGAAGTCTGATTGAAGAACGATTCTCCACCCCAGTGTATAGACCACAGTACTGAGATTTCAGTGAATAACAGAACCCCACTAATGTAATCATGCACACACACAAATACACATACACACACATTTTGAAAGGAGGGTGTCCAGAATGGAATGAGATGCCCAAGTACAAAGGAATATCCATAATAAATGAGGGATAGAAGGCAATTTGAAGAACAGCCCTGACCCGGATGGCTCAGGCTAGCCTGATCTTTCATATCTGGGATGCTAACCAGGGTTGTCCCTGGTTACTACTTGGATGAGAGACCACCAGGGAAGTCCAGGGTTGCAATGCTGAGGCAGGCAGTGGCAAACCACACATCTGTTTGTATCGTGTCTTGAATACCCTATGCAGTCACCATAATCCAGCTATTTATATTATTTATTTATTATTTATTTATTATATTTATATCCCGCCCATCCCGCGAACGGGCTCAGGGCGGCTAACATTGCGGTACAGTGTACCTAATGAAATACAAAACATTAAAACTCTATAAATATCATAGACAAATACTTTAAAACATAACTTAACAGTTTCTACTAAAAGCATGTAAACAAGCTACAAATTGACGGCATTTTTTACCACCACAAGGCAATTGAAGAATTATGAAAACTGAACAATTATGAAGGCAATTGAAGGCAATTCAAGAATTATGAAATTTGTAAGAGTGTTTCTGAGTGTGTCCAAAAATGTTACTTTTTATATGTGAAAAAGGGTTTCTGCAGGTCAATGCCAAGTTGAAATGCTCTAGTGATAAGGAAAGAATGACGTTAGTCAAGATTTTCTATAGCCCCTCTTTTCATAGAACAAAATCCCCCTTTTAAGTAATTCAATTAACATTTAAATCAATTAGAAAAGTAGTTCCTTGACCCTCTGCCTTTTCCAGCTTTCTCCCCTCAGTAGACAGTTGCATCATGTGTCATGCCCAACTGTTACTGTGTGTGGTGAGAAGATGTGTCAGTGTGAATGTGGTCTGCTTTGCAGTTCAAGCCCTAATTCATACTAGATATCCAGAGCATAAGCAAAGCACCTTACTTCTGCCACCTCTCACTACTGCACTCAAATACCTAAACCCAGCACAACAGAAGCTTTGCTTAGCTTCTCCACTTTGCTGAAAATACTCCTTTGTCTGAGCAGTGGCTCCCCACCCCCCAGTTATAAGGCATCTTTGACTGACTGGTGAGATGCCTCTGCAAACATGGAATGCATACTGAGAACCAAATATAATAAAATCAGAAATCAAGTTTATTGAGGGAGATAATATGAATCCCTGTCCTAGGGAATTAGTGAACTCAAGCTGTCAAAATAATACCAAGAATCCAAATGTCAACAATAGAAAGCCCAGTGCAAGAGCCAGTCACTCCAAGAACTGGGACACTGTGCAAGTTATTCATCTTAAGATGGGGAGGCAAGAAACTCAAGTGGCAAACAGAGTGAGGGAGCAGGGCTGGTCTTAGCTACCTATCCTTGTAGGTATGAAGGTAGGGGCTCAAGCACCAGGGTATCAAACAACAGAACACAGAAGGAGCAGGGACCACATCTTGCCAAAGCCCAGCATGGGTAGAAAAACAGGGACATGTCATACATGTCAGTGGGAAACTTGTGCAGCTGCACAGGGGAAAAGCCAGATGAAGTATATTCCACAGGAACTTCTTTTTTTGGGGGGGGGGGTTAGTGTACTGCATTTAGTTACAGGACTGGGAACAATGTCCAAAAAACAAGATATTATTTTCTTTCCAGGATGGTCAGTATTGTTCTGACCAGAAGACTGGAGCTTTGGTGGGCAATTTGGATAGTCTAAATTGGAGCAATCTGAGATGAGAAAAACTTTTTGTGGGAGGGGGACATCTTTTCCTTGGTAAATGTTCACATGGCAAATTCTTTTGGAGGCTAAAGGTACACTGATGGATCCTGCTTGCCCTTGATGAGTGAACTGATGGCCTGGTACTGGGTACTTAGTTGCTTACTCTGGTTAGAAGAATGTTGAGGTCAGGAACTGTCTTACTCTTCTGTCTATCATCATGGAAATGGCCAGAAACCCCATTGACTGGCCTCACATGGCATTCATCACCATCAGCATTTATAATGATCAAAGATCATCCAAGACATTTAAAGAGGAGGTGCTCCCAGCATAAAATTAGTAGTGTGGAGGAGGAAGAAAGCATGAACCAAAAGGGAGTCATGTTGGCAGACCAACATTAGTCTAAACAGATAGCAGCTCCCCAGTTCCTTCAGTTGACAGGGACTTGTGTAAGAGACAGGAAGCAAAAGGAATTCAAGGCATCTAAAAAGGACCTGGGGAAGAGTTATTGGGAAAAAAACCTTGCACACATTTCATAATAATGTGGTTGAGAGTGAAGTCAAAGTCCTGTCAGGTAAAAACAAGGGCCTTAAACAGCAACAAGTAAGGTAAACAACAGCATGATTTTTTTTCAAAAGCATGAAAGGAGATGGTGGGGAGTTGTTGACCTTTTCATACACTTTGAAACAACAGTTTTTGTCCCTAAAATCAGTCATTGTGAACATTTGGTACAGCTTCTAAAATCAACAAAGAGATTAGATTTCATGATCAATCATCAATTATATTACTTGGGCGCTTCTTTTGGAACCAGAAGAAACTCATATGATGTGTATATATTTGATCATAGCCTCTTGGCATCAGTTAGCCATCAAGGGGAATATACATTTGTGCCTCAAGAAATCTGTGAAATTGTCACTAGCATAACTCAGAGTATTTCTCTTCCTTGGATTCTGTTTCTATTTCTCTTTTTAGGTTTTTATAGAATGGGATTAGGGCTCTTTCATGTATTATTTGTTGTTGTTCAGTCGCACAGTCGAGTCCGACTCTTCGCGACCCCATGGATCATCTCCCACCAGGCCCTCCTGTCTTCCGCCATCCTCTGAAGTTGGCTCAATTTCATGTTCGTTGCATCGATGACACTGTCTAACCTATTATATGTAACAACAATTTAATTATGTGTGCAGTGAGTTCCTTTTTCCAAAGAACTGCAAAAAAAAAATTACAAAAACACCCCCTCCCCGTTTAATACATTGCAAGGGTGGTATATTCTAATCAAGTACTGGCAATATTCTAACACATGTAATACATTATTTGCTTATGTGCTCACAGTATTTGCCTTCTTCAGGTGCCAGCTCTAAACTCATGGGAAAGTTGCAGCCAATCCCAGCTCTGTGACAATTATACCTGTATGAAACATGATTTTTAAAAAATGTTTGTTTCATTCATATTTTGCATTTTTAGACAGAAAAAAACTCCTAGGTGTGCACATTACAAATATAACGTACAACAAATACCTAAACCCAACACAAAATAGTAACCTTGTTATCAGGGGTCATTTCCTGCAGGAGCGCACAGGAGCGGAGCTCCGGCAGTAAAGAGCCCAGGGGGCGGGCACATGCAACAAGCCCCACCTCCTGCTCCTAGCAGCCCTCAGTCAGAGCAAGAAGCAGCCAGGTAAGTTGCAGAGCCCCCCCCCCCCAGTCCAAAACAGTCCAGTGGCACCTTTAAGTCCAAGTTTTATTCAGGTACAAGCTCTCCCTCCTCTGCGAGGACAGATCTGCACATCCCTGTCCCCCCAATAGCTAGCAATCCAAAACCGTCCAGTGGAGCCTGAGCGGTGGGTGTTGCCTTCTGACACACTTCCGGTGATGTCAGGGTGTGTGGCATATTCAAATAAGTTATGCTAATGAGTTATGCTAATGAGCTCCTGCACCTCTTTTTCTACGAAATGACCCCTGCTTGTTATGATTACAAAATTGATCGGTAACCATAAGATTGCTGGGGTATCAACTGGGTAACAGGTAATTTCAGCAGGCAGCTGTGTTGGTCTGCGGTAGAACAGCTCAATTCAAGTCCAGTAGACCTGGATAGCCCAGGTTAACCTGATCTTGTCAGATCTTGGAAGCTGAGCAGTGTCGGCTCTGGCTAGTATTTGGATGGGAGACATGGTGGCCGGCAATGACAAACCATCTCTTGCTTTGAAAACCCTACAGGGTTGCTGTAAGTCAGCTGTGACTTGAAGGCAATAAAATAAAATAAGATAAAATAAAAAGCACCTTAAAAGCCAATATGATTTTCAGGGTATAAGCTTTTGAGAGCAGACTCCCAAACTTGTTGTATTTTAGACATGACTCCATTCATTGGGATTTATAGTTCAAAAGTCAT